CTCACAGAAATTTCAGATACATTATATAACAATGTCAGTTACTTTATTTGTCATACAATACAAGACACACAAATCCTCTTGAATTAATTAATTTTCTCAAACTTTTTTTTATTTATTTTTCCCTGTCTTTTTCTTTCACATAAAATGAACCACAATTACATAAATTAGTATTTCCTCGCCCCAAAACCATTTACTCCGTATTTTTTTTTTAATTAAATTTTGGTTAGTTGTAATTGACGAGAGATCAGAAAAAATTGGCGAGGTCTTAAATAATTTGTACAAGAGTGAAGTAATGGTATCAAGCAATCGTTCAAGTCCCTTTAGTTTTTTTTTTATTTTTTTTTATTTTTTTTATTTATTTATTTAAAAAAAAAATATAAAAAACGAATAAAAAATGGGTTTCTATTTTTACTCTTTAGGTAATTAAGATAGAAAGTTGTTTAATAACATTGGTATTACTTTGTATTATATAATGTTACTATTATTGGAATATAATAAAAGCGAGAAGATAAAAAAAATCTATATCAAACGGATACTGAGAAGGAAAACAAGAGTGAAGGGAGTACATACAAAGGAAAATAAGGCAAAATGTAAGAGACAAAGATAAAATAAGTGGTAAGTTTTTGGAAATGAATACAAATTAGGGTTTGTATCAATAAAGGTTATGAAAATATATGTCCTAATTAAATGTGAAACTAAACCATTATTCAAGCAAACTTTAGGGCTTGTTCTGATATACTAAACTAAACTGAACAGAACTGAATAGAGCTGAAATGAATATTTTATGAGAAAAGAGAATTGAACTGAACTGATTGGAGCTAAAATAAACTGAAATTAAGCTAAAGAGAACAAACCCTAATTATGATTCAAGCAAAGGTCTCTAATGCAATGACTTAGGGCCTGTTCTTATTGACTGAACTCAGCTGAACTGAACTGAACTGAATTGAACTGAACTGAAATGAACTGAATTGAACTGAATTGAAATGAACTGAACTGAACTGAACTGAACTGAGCTGAATTGAACTGAACTGAATTTCAACGTAAGAAAACATACCCTTATATAAAAAGAATGCATAAAAATCATTTAATTATCTTGAATTCCATAAATTCCATGCTCTACTAAAAAAGCACGAAGCTCCTCTATTCCTCTCTGAAAAAGATGTTGGCCTTTTCAGGCATTTAGTAGACTTCGTTTATTTTTACAACTATCACCATCCCTACCATTTATTCTTTATTTATTTATTTGATATAAATATAAAAACAAAACAAAATAAAATAAAAAAATTTGGGAAAAGCTGAAGATCCTTTGGATTTGGAAAATTACCCTTAAAGGTAAATTGTTCCAATACACAGTTGGTAATGTGAGTTTTTATCCTCTTATGTGGTCCTTGTACTTTAGGTATTACTGTTCCATAACCTCTTTTTTCTATTTTTTACTGCTCTACATTTTATGGTGTCAGCTTTGATTCATTCTTCATTATTCTCCCAAATTAGTATAAGTATTTTTGGTACTCCACAATAATTATGTTATGATGACTAGATTTATATTACTATGATATTAAGGGATCCAAAAATAATTTGAGTTTTCCTTTCTATATTCATATGGTCCTAAGCATTATATAGTTTTTATAAATATTGTTAGGATAATAGTTGTACTTCCTCCATTTCAAATTATCGGCTTTATGTATATATGTTGAAATGTCAATTTTTTTATCCAAAAATAAAATTAAGAGACATTCGAGAGTAAAAAAAAACTCATAATCGTACCATTTAACATTTAGAAAATGACGTATCAAAAACATATTGACTCGATCAACATATATGAGCCTAAGAAGACATAGATCGATTTTATGATTGGTGATAGGACACATATAAAAACCTACATTTTGTACTTCGTATTTAAACTTCAATTAATAATCGTACTAGCTAGGATAAATGCCTAAATCATGTAAGTTTCAAAGAGTTCACAACCCTGATAATACAAATTTAATTTGACTATAAATAATATATAGTTCATTAAGTTATGACAATATGTAAGCAATATAACTTAACTGTCATTTGTTGGTCGGCTTTGAACAGTTACCGTATACTTCGTAATAATTATCAATTTCTTATTATGAGTATGTATTGATCTAAAACAACACATATACGAAAAAGAACAGAGTGAGCACACCATATATTAAAGCTAAAGATGGTCAAATTTGTGCATTTTTATGTGTAACACCTTCTACAAGTATAGATTTTTAATTCATTTATGTATATCTGAGCTACTACAGTACTACACTAGCAATATAGTTGTAAGAATTAGATAATAATAGGCAGATAAAATTACGAAAATACCCCTGATTTCTTTTTTAGTGATCATCCCCATGCATGCTCTTTAACAAGCACCGTAGCTACTCAGTTAACTCTGCAACAATGCATGCTAAAATTAAACAGGAATTTATGCCTTTGTTTGTTTATCTGCAAAAGCAAGCAGTAGTGTAACAGCAAAAATTAATAATTTTTCCAGTACATACATAATAATTTAAGACACAAATTATAATAAAGTAAGATTAATAATTAATGTGAACAGAATTGCATATTAAATTTACATATTGACTAAATAATGTCAACAGTTTCTTTTTTCTCCTGTGGTGCAGCATCATTGAGACCATGATTGGCTTATATGATGTAAGTTAGCCAACATCAAATTAAACCCTCTTCTGTTTCAGAATCCTTCTTCTATATTTCCTGATCTTTATTCAGTCAATTTGAAAATTTTCATTTTTTGGATCTTATTGTAACATTTTGCTTCTATACTGTTCCCTCGTTTTTTTTGTTTTATTTAATTGTTTTATATTGACTTTTACATTGTGTACCACATCTGTCTTATTTTGACTACATACGTACACTTGTTTTTACTAATTCAAATAAATAAATGTTAATATTTACTGTAAATTATTATTAAATTTGTCTCAATATATATTTTCAAAATTTATAGGAAGATTTCAAAATCATATTTTATGTGCTTAATTAGTATTTAAACTCTTGCACCAAAAAGCTAATTTCACATTACCATGTAACAACTAATTTTGCCAAACACGCTCTATATATGATTCAGATTCTCCCTCCTCAATAATGGTTTATGACATGTTTAATTTGCTAAAAGATAAAGAAGAGATGAGGCACAATGACCCATTGTCATCTTCAATCTTTGTCACTAACATGAAAATTACCAAATTATTGTGGGGTCTAAGGTTTCATACCATCTATTAGATATGTGCTACTCTTAAACTTAACCACCTTCAATTTGCATATGGTTTGATGCTATTTTCCGAAGGTAATATTATGTGTTTTTTCTTTTTTCCTTTTTTTTGGTACTTGTGTTAAATTTTTTTGCTACATTCTTAATGTCCTAGATCTGATTTGTCACCCAAGAACTTAAAATTAACTATTTATGTTTCCACCATTATTATTTCTATCTCTTGATTTTGAACTTAGGATAAGAATTTGGATCTTTGTAGTTTCTCATAAGACAATTTGATTTTCAGACAACTTAGGGTCCCAATTTCTTCCAAGAGGATAAGTGTATGTAATACCATGATATTCAATTCATTTTTGTGGATATGATTGTTGCAAGAATTAAATCAAAACACCGGGATTTAACATTATGATAACAGTTCATTCTCACTAGCCTTAGCTTGTTTGATACCAAGCATGTAGTTCATTGTATGAATTGAACACGATTTTAATTATGATGACGGTCCAATATCATCACTAGCCTTGTTTAGTTTAGAACTAAATTTGTCTCGCAAAAAAGTTGTTACATTTCATATGAGAACACAAGTTCTTGACACATTTTAGGCATACTTCATGTCTTACGTACCTTTTAGGCATCTCTTCCTATTATTGTTGGGCATATATAATTGCATGGCTAGGCAGGCATTTAAGGGGAGTAGTGTTGATGTTTGTGATGGAATGTCACTTACACTTGTGGAGTCCAGGCATAATCTCGCAATGCATTGCAACATCTGATTGTGCTACACTGATTGCTAGTTAATTTGACACTACTTACACAGTGTTACACGGATCATATGCACACCATCGACGTGTGAATTGCACGCGCTTACATATCTATCATAAATAAGCCATCGTTAGGGATGCATCAATTCGATCGATACTACCCGTTGCTCTCGGATAACAAGTATTGTAATTTTCGGGGTTCCCTACCCACTTGTCAACGATGATGCATTTCATTATAAGAGTTCATAACTTCCATAAAATATTTGATATCTAAATGTATGGTAACAAACCAATATATAGTCACCCTATCTCGTCTGACCATGACTAGTTTTTTTCCAAATTAAAACATCGGCCACCTGATTTTTGTCCTTTATATCCCACTAATATTAGTTACAAAATGAACTAATCATTAAATATATGCTTTATACATTAGTCATATCAGATGTTAACATTCCTAGATTATTATTCGTGTTAAAGCTATATTGAAAGAGATTGTTCCCAAATTCAGACCACTTGCACCAGTATGATCAATCTTTGTTGATTAATAAAAATACCAAAATAACATAAATGTTTTAAAAGAACCAACCAAAAACAACTAATTAACTTTCTCAAAAAAACAAAAATAACTAATTGAGAAATGGGGTAATGCTGATAAATGTGATGGATAATTTTATTTTTGTGGTAGTAATGAGCTGTTGGAACCATCAATTTCATTATGATGGGCATGTTTAGAATGCTGTAGATATTCGGTTAGTCCGCACGACAAACAAATTGTAATTTAATTGTGTTGATGTATGGTGTACCGTATTCTATATACATCCGGGTGTACCTTTATCTTAAGGTCCAGGTGCATGGCAGCATGGTAGCATGCTGGAGTATTAGCAGATTGGAGAGATCATGCCAATCGGATCAAGGACGTACTGACCGAAATTCTCTGTGAACGTGTTTCCGGTGAACCCCCAAAATATAAGACAATTAGGGGAAAACAATAGGGAGAAAGCAAGGGAAAATCCTCTTCTTGATCTCTTAGATATTTCAACTGTAAGAGTTCATTTGACCTATATATTACCAGCAAGTCACAGAAGCAAAAACACAAAAAATTCTGCAGATGACAATTAACAATAACACATGTATTTTTTTCCTTCCTATTTCCAGAAATGTTTACTGTCATTTTGAGAGCCAATAGATAATAAGGAACAAAGTACAAGCGGCAATGACTGCAGAGAGAATGAGTGTATCTCTGGAGCGCTTCCTTCTGATTGAGCCTGCACAGTCATATCAAAGATTAACCCTGTTTTTAGATATATTTGAAGTTAATTGAGATTTTGCTCTAAGCAAACAAGAGCAAGAAAGTAAATTGTATTTGTACCAAGTACACCACGAATGACAGGAAATTTCTCGCTTAAAACCTTCACTTTTCCTCTAACATCGCCAAACAATGCCCTCTGAGAACCTAAAACTGACCTTGTTGCCTGAGCTTGATTTATTACCTCATCTATCTACAGTGCATAAACAGACAATTGATTATTAAAAAAAAAAAAAAAAAACTTAGACTCAATAAAAAAAAAACTTAGACTCGATAATTATACAAAGACATAATCCCATTTTTTTGTGGACCATCCCTATCGCTATCAAAAGTGAAAGGAAATTATTTAGCTCCAAGTAGGCCGCTTGCTCCCTCGTTCCAAAGACTCAATTAATGAAAATTACAGAATTTGACATATTATAGAGCAATCAGAGTTTGATCAAATTGACATGATGGGGACTATGAACTTTGTCACGAGGGCAAGAAACAGCTAATGCACTTCATGGACAGATAACAGAGTACGCTTATTAATCAAATTAATAGAGCAGGGACTATAAACATTGTCATGAATTGCTGAAATGAGAACTGAAGGACCAAACTTCTAATTCAAGGCAAGAACAAAAAAGATACATAAAAGAAAATAGGACAGAACTGATAAGAACCTTTAAAGTTTACACAAAACAAAGATTAACTTTTAAAGTTAGTTTTGGCACTCCATCATTGATTATTCTGTATGACAAACAATTAAAAGTTAGATCCATATTGTGGCTAGCTGTAGCTTTGTGGATACTTTGTTCCCAATGATTAAGGTAATTTGTCCCCAAACATGTCTGATTAGTTGCTGGTCTTCGACTAGATTCTGTCACAAGGACTTTTAGCATAAAAAATTGGACACTCCACCATATATAATTACCAGAAAGGAAAGCATGATTAGGATTCGATCCCAAAAGACACTCCACCATATATAATTACCAGAGAGGAAAGCATTATTAGGATTCCCAAAACTATTAACTTCCTAATCAGTGCTAAATTCATCATCATACACCTTCAACCCCTATGTCTTTAATATCGCACACTCCCAATAGTCTCACCCAATATCAGTAACTTGGCTTTCATCATGGCAAGTAATAGAGCTAAATCTAAAGCAGAAATTCTTATCACAATATGATCCAAGGTTTACAGTCAGTCCATGAACAAGTTAGCAAATCTGAAAGTTCCTTGGACACTGAACTAGATGTAGGTTCAAAAACTCAAATTGAATGATATATAATGTATGTCCCCACTAATCATTATCCAAAAGGTTTTAAAAAAGACATTCCTTGAAATCTGTAAGATAACAGTACCCTCCAGCCTCTTCTACTAGCCAGGGCCCCAATTATCTTGCCTCACAGGGGCACATCTAGCAAATGCCTTTAATCCAACAAGTTGAGGGATGGCAGTTTGCAGTTCCTAACAGACAGCAATGACTACATAAGTTCATTCCCTCCATATTTACACCTCACAACTTCACTGTTTACCTGATCCAAAATGCCAATCCTCTCCAAATCGTAGCAATAATTTTGCAAGTTGCAACCTCAATATATTATACAATGAACACAAATGATATGGAGTTTCCAATGTGCCCACGAAATTTTAGGCATGACTCCAAGTTACAAAAATACTCTGGTCAAAATCAACAATGACCAATTTTGATTACTAAACAGCTCACCAAGGAAGTAGACAGATCTTGCATTTAACATGCCATCTTTCATCATTAACATCCTTGTGCAGAGCCAGTATTTTTGTAATTAAAGTGCGGAAAATTCCAGGTTTAATTTCTCTAAGATTTGTAAATCAATGACCTTCCAACCTCTTTTCCATCTGCCTCCCAGTTGCTTAACGTTCTTTGGGTCATAGTTTACCAACTTCTTAACCTTCTTTTGCTCAACAATCAATATTTTGTAAAATTGATTAGAATACTAATTGAGATGAATCAAACAAGACCCCATATGAATGTTTTTTCTTATATATTGGTAATAAAATTTGAAGATTCCCTCAAATTATGATTAGCTGCAAAATTTTGATATGAAACATCACAAAGAAACAGAGGGAGTATTTGGGAAGAGACTTTGAAATTTTGAAGAGACTACAAGAAATCATAAATGCAAAAGGCTTTTAGAGCTTACAATGAGCCTTTAAAAGTAATTAACAAATAAAAATATTAAGTTCAGACTCCCTGTGTTATAGACTTATAGGAATATTCTTGGTCAAGTTGATCATTTCCAAATAATATCATACAAAGTAAATTACAAATTAATAAGACAGGTAAACAGTATCAGTAAGATATAAGCAGGAGAAAAAAAACCAGACTTTATTTATTAAAAAAAAACACTTGTTCAAACTGCTAAGAATTTCAAAGATAAACAGGGTCATAGTACGACTAGTGGCTACTGGCTAGTCTGCCACATACTTTCCACAGTAACTGTTTTATAAAGATTAAAAACAAATGACATTATCCTCAAAATTGAGAGGCTTACATGAGATATACTTCCATGAATTGCACCTCTTTCTCGCAGCAACTGCGCATTAGGAGCCATAGTCCCTGATGCCTGCATGAGGTAAACATGAGTAACACAATCAATAATGCAAAACTAAGTCATGAACTACGCAATTATCAAGATTGCCCACCTTGTACTCACTAATATCATCTCTCACTGAACTAAGAAGCTCTGCATGTTCCTTCATTGAACTTATATTTCCTTTGATACGCTTGAACTCCTATAAACATGAAAAAAAAATCATTGAATGAAGCCTATGATAGCTCATAGAACAAGGGACCATAGTACAAGCCTCACCACATAATTTTTTTTGAATAAAATAATAAATAAGATACTGGTGTTGTTTGCATATATTAAACGAGCCACTACATGAAGCAGAAATGCAGAATTAACAAATAAGATTTCAGAATAAAAGATAAATGATCGTTGTTGCCCCATGGCAGACTAGTGATCACATTCGTAGAAAATAATAATACTGCACAATGCAAGCAAAGGTGAAGGTACAAGGAAAATGAATAATCAATCTGCATCCCCTTCCTGTCTCTTCAAATCATCTTATTACACACAATGCTACCGCTACAGGTGTACTATGTAATTACAAATCAGGTGGAAGCCAACTCTAAGGAACAACTATTTCAGTTTGTTTCCTTCAATGCAAAGATGGATACTTTATAAGCCATGCCCTGTGTGGATCCACGTGAAACTAAACAACTTTACCAGTTCAATGTTCACAAAAGCATTCCATGTCAATAACCGATTTTGCCTTCATATTAGACAACCAGCCAAATAATAATTCACTTGTAACAGAAAATAATGAATACCTGGGTAAACTCATGAAGTATGTCTCGGTGTCTTGCCAGTTTTTGAGTTACCGATGTCGTGGGAGCAGCTGATGCAGCACATCTGCCCATTGAATCATTTATGTCAACTAGCTTTTCAAGTAAAGACTGGATTTCCATTTCCATAGACTTCCATGACCTGCTGGAGCTCACTGTTGGTGATCCAGTATCCGCATAACCTAATTCCATGACACTATGCTCAGAAAACAGAGGGAACCACCATGAATTCTACATTAGAGTTGAATTTAGAACATGAACAAACAGCATACATCTGTGTACACTCAATCCTGAGTCCTAACATAGTAGAATCACGTTGTTATAAATAGAAAATTTTGATCCCTTCCCTTCTCCCACCCCCCTCCCCCCATAAATAAGACATAAGTCCTCTTATAGCAGGGTGAATCTTTCACATATAGCCTTTCTAAATTCTGACTTTCAGGGGTGAGATCTTCAACAGGATTGATACAGAATTGTTGTTTCTTATGAAACCCTCATGAATATGTCCCTCTTTCCCCTGCTCCAATAATCTCTCCACGGTAATGTAAGGCTGTAAGCCCTTCATCAAGTTTGTCAATTTATACTGAATCAGTACATCTGAACATGCTACTGTAGCACCATATACAACAAAGAGATTGCTGTACGCACATAGAGAGAGGGGGGGGGGGGGGGGGGAACGCCAAAACTTTGCATCTCTAATAAAATCTAACAATTTCCTTGATTTCAAAATCCAAGATCATTTATGGCAAAGGAACTTACAGATATTGTCATGGTGCAAAAACTGATTTTTCCTCTTTTGGGCCAAGAAAAAAAACATAGTGAGCAAAAAATGGGGGCTATGGGAACTTGGGAAGTGATTAAGCAAAAGCCAAAAAAGAGGGTATAAAAATCAAATTTGAGACCCCTTTATAAAAGGGAGCTAGAGAGGAGGAGGGGGGGGGGGAGACAAAAAATCATGCAAGTAAAACCACAAAAAAGTTTAACCTTAACAAAGGAAATAATAGAATTTGCAAAACACAAATAATTTAGGAACCCAAAATAAAACAAAATAGTATTTATATTTAAAGTCGTGACATGTCCTCCACCCCTCCGCTCAGATTTCTTCCCTCCACTCCACCCTATCCAACGCCATAAATTCCTCAATCCCAAAAGACTCACATCACTCTCAATCACCTTCCCTGTTTTCTTAGGTCTTTCCCTACCCCTCACAATCCCTTCACTACGGAAAGGTTTGTAGGTTAGGCCCAGTAGAGAATTCCAATGAGTATCTTGAGTAAAAACATGCCTCCTGGAACTGAAAGGAACCAAATCCGCTAGCGTAAATAATCCATCATGCAAGTTTTGCAATAATTGTTTTTTTTTTTTGGGGTGGAGGAAGGGGGTGGAGGGGAGGGCGGCAGCACAAGATTAGTCATGCTGTATAAGGGAGGAAAGCTACACAAAAGATTCAAATTAATTCTAAATGAAGAAGACTATATGGGAATACATGTAAGAGTGGATCTTGGTTAGTAATTAAACAATTTCTATGCACTTTTTAGCACTTAAATTTGAGAAATATTTTAATTGGTGTCATCATTCCACCAAATCAAATACCCCATGTCATGCAATTAAAGTCTAGTTTTGGCTCTGTGAACAGAAATAAATCTTCACTCCAACCATAAAAGTCACATCCAATCCTTCAGTACCTTCCTCACATTGAAATTTCCAACACTTCCAGTTCCAGTATTGTAAGAGTAGTTCAATAATCAATACTTTACTTGCATACATGATACATCCTAGTCCACACTCCAAACAACACTATATATCTTTGGTAGAATGGTAGTAATACTTCTAAGCTCCTTCCTACTTATATTAAATCAGTCATTCAACAGCAAGATCGCCTTACCCACAACCTTCAAACCTTATTCTTATCCCAATGCCATTATAACCTTCAACCCGATACTGGTGGGTTAATGACTTAATGTAGCATTCTCCTTCAACCGCCCTGTACGGCGCCAAAATGAAGACTCAAACCACAGGTTCCAATAGTTCACACCGTACTAAAACCAACTAAACACCCATACCAACACACCCACAAATTCTTACCCCAATGCAGAGTGATCCAATCACTAGAAAACTTCCCATTCACCTCAAATCACCATCTAATATAACACAGTCAGAGTTCTTTTCTGCTGATCAAAATTCACTGCCCACAAAACTAATTAACCAAATTGGTAACTAAACGATCTCTATCTACACCCAATTGCCCTAATTATAAACAAACAGCACCAATTTATACAAAAACAAACTAACTACTCAAAAAAAACATGAGCATAAACTAATGCAATCATCAAAATCTGAAATCAAATTTAGGATACATAAATTCAACACAATGTAGACCCATTAAAACCCAATTCAAAATTAATCAAATCAAAATGTAAGAAGAACAAATACCCAGAAAAATTAGAATAAAAAAATGAGGTTACCTTGGGTAAAACGAGCACCAAGCTTAGCATAAGAAGAAAGCTTAACATCAAGATCACCTTCAATCTTCCGGGCTTCTTTTCGGAGCTCTTCCCACCCAGATTCCTGCAACTCCATACTCAGATCCGACATCCTACCCACCTGACCCGATTACCACAACCCGCCCGACTAAATTTGAGAATTTTGCAACTTTTTTGGGGATGATTTTGATTGTAGTGACACAGTTAGTTAGTTGATTTTGTTGGGTATTTCTTAATTGATGTTAATGGAGGTTTTTCAGTGGGTTTTTTATTTTATTTTTTTTAAAAAATGAAATTGATTTTTCCAATTTAAGAATGTGATCTACTGATCTATGATCAACCTGGGAAAAAATGGAGGAGAGAGAAAAACAGGATCTGAATTCTGAAGTTTACAGGTTCAGTCTTGAGTGTTGTTTGAAATTGGGCTGTTAGCCTGTTAGGCCTTTGGGCCTCATGTTTTTCTTTGGTAAGAGAGAAGTTATTTGTGTAGAATACAAGTATAAAGCAAAGGCATTTACTTCATTTACTCCATTATATTTTATTAATGAAATCTCTTTTCTTGTAAAAAAAATGTTTTATTATTTCTTGATCAATATCTATGTTTATGAAAGGGCAACTAGAGAGTGTGTTGATTTGGTGTATACGTGTAAGAAAAAGGCACATTGTGATGAATACGTGAAAAAGAATGTGTGAATGAAGTAATAACAGATTAAGAGTGCATAGATGGACTAAAAGAGGTTCATGAAAAATGCAATAGAGTGAAAGTCATAATATTGTAACTTTTTGAAATATACAAAAATGGAAAGTGTTGAGATCTTATAGATACGAAATGATGTATATTTATTTATGAAGTAACTATGATATTCATCAGTATCAACAACGGTAATAATAAATGCATTATTAGCTGTAAAAAGGGGTTTATCGTGAAAGTAAAAAATGTTGAGAATTGCAAAAGCGTCAACATGTAAGATTTGGGGAAAAATAAACCATGAACTGTCACTAATCAACTAAGGGCTTGTTCTCATACGTTGAAATTCAATTCAATTCAGTTCAGTTCAGCTCCTAATTTCCTTCTCTTATAAAATATTCAGTTCAGCTCAGCTGAGTTCAGTCAATAAGAACAGGCCCTAAGTATTAACAACCCTCACAACATCCCTTGAAATACAACTCTAACAAAAGAAAGCAAAGGGTTGTTATATACTTATATTAGCCAGTTAAGCTAATATATTGACTTAACTTGCTTATGAAATCTAAGACAATAAAGAGCAATGACTTTTATAATTTATAATTTTCTTAGCCCCAATGTCAAATTTATTGATTTTTGTGTTTCTATTATACCGAATCCTCTAATTCAAGTAAGGTGGATCAATGTACAATTCTAATTTGATATGACTGCTTTTCTTAATAAATAAATTTATTATGTACTCTGCCCACTATTAGTTGTTACGTTATGTTTAGAATACGGAGTAACATTTAGTCACCTTTAATTTTATAGTCTTATCATTACAATATTTATTATTTGTAATTAGTTTTATCAATACTTTGCTTATTCAATTTTTTTTTTTTTTTTTTTTTTGGTGGGTGGGAACGACAATTGATGCAATTAATTTAAAGTTTACTTAATATTTTGTCATACTACATAAGTTTCTTTCAAATAATTATAGAAAAGTATATATGTCATATTTTTCTTTAATAAAAATACAAGCATGTCATACTCTATATCCTCTGACTATGAATTTCCGAGGGATTATGTCGGTACGAATTCGGAGAATATTAAACATACATAATTTTTTTAGAAGGGCTTAAGAATATGCTATAAGTACAATTAAGCAAGTACGGCACGTACATGTGTGACAACATCAATTCACAAGTGGATAAAACAAAAATATATTAATCCATGTGGTTTTTTTTTTTTTTTTTTTTTTTTGAGAGACGTTTAGTATCAATTTTATTAATCAATGGACAATTTGTCCATTAGAACATACGGAGCGATTACATGTGGGTAAAAATTCTCCCAAACTTGTTCTACCTCAAAAGGTACTAAACTAGCAAGGTGGTGGGCATTCCCCTCCCTTCTAACATGTGACCATGAAATATAATCAAAACAAGAGCAAAGAGCAAAAATATCATCAAGCACTGAGTCGAGGTCCGTGAAGAAAGTAGCAGCCTTTGATAGACGATTCACCACAAGTTGGCAATCGGACTCCATAATCACATTCTTATACCCATAGCGTTGCGCCAACTTGACACCAAAATGCAGAGCTTTGCATTCAGCCACCTCAGGGGGCCAATAGCCACGAACGCGGCGAACCCTAGCAAACAAGATTTCCCCTGATTCATCCCCTGATTAATCCATGTGGTTTGACAAAGTAAGAAATTCGTAATTAAATTAATTATACTCCAAATTTCTTCCTTTTTTTAAAAAAAAAAAATAAATAAAATAAAACACTGGTGTAATTGATAAACCTTTGATTCAAGTTTAGAAAAGTTTACCGTAATTTTATTATGCTTCATATTTACAAATTTTGTTTGATTACCTTACATTCTTTATTATCCCACACTTTTATACCTTTATTACACCCATTCTTTCACTTTACTCACTTTTTTTTCCTACCTTTTAACTTTTAAGTCTTAACTCATTTTTCTTACTTAAACTAAATTTCACTAGCAAACCCACTAAGTTTTCACAACCATTTCTAGAAACATATATAAAGTATTTAATAAGTAGGTTAATTGAATACTTGAGGAGGGAGTGCCTTTGTAGTGTGTGTATATATAATTATGTAAAAAAATCATCATATTTAGAAAATAAACTTTGAAACAAAATTAATAAAAAGCAAATCTAACAAATGCTTTGTAGTATTCGTACTAAGTAATAATTCGTTTATGCTTAAACTTTTGTAAACTTTAATCACATAAATAAATATGTATTACAAGAAAAATTAGACACAAACTCGTTGTACAACAATTGCAAGTTGGTTCAAAAGAGCTTTCGATATGCTATATTGGCATATTATGTTTGGAAGTTAGTTTGTGCAACTACAAGATAATATATGATCACTTTTATAAAACTATATATTCAGTATTATTCAAGCAAATGGACTATCTTTAATAAGCATTACGGATAAGAGCATCAAATTGGAGATGATAAACAAAGTGTAATGATCTTAACTTGATAAGCATTAAAGCTTATAAAACCATTATCTAATGATAATTGCTAGCTACTTTACGAATAATTTTTTGATAAACCAAATCTCCTTAATTAAAAAATTTGGTATGCCACTTGCATTCTAATTTTCAATTGTGTACCTAGCTTTGTCCTTAATTGATGAGCAGGTGAACCTTGAAATGTTTAATTAGTTAATTAGCGTAATTGACGTTGGAATTATTAGCATCCAGCAAATGCTTTGTCATGTAATATACATCTAGAGGATTAGTGGTAGGTTATATTAGTAACTCAAAACCAATAAATTAAACATACTAATGAGATTATGGCCTATTGACAAAGATTGAGGTCATCGCATACTCAAAGTTCTTGCACTGTTTCTTTTTTTTCTTTTTTCTTTTTTCTTTTTTTTTTTTTAGTTTTTTGTCTTATACTTCCTCCGTTTTCTTTTACTTGCAACACACCTTTTAAGCACGCAGTTTTAGGAGATGATTAGTGAGGGTAAACGAGCGATTTTATCAATATAATTTTTACACGAAAATTAGAATAGGGTTAAGTATCATTTGTAAAAATTATAATGAAAAATTTGTCCGTTTACATTACGTAAACCCAACCTCAAAACACGTGCCACAAGGCTGTGTTGCAAGTAAAAGAAAACGGAGGAAGTATAGTTTAGTGAGATCCCAAAAAAATACTTAAATTTGCGGCTTTTCTCCCAAAAAAAAAAAAAAAAAAAAAAAAAAAACCTTAAATAAAGAGTAGCAAGTTTTTACCATCTGACATGTGACATCAAAGATGCTATTATTTGATATTTCATATTTAAAAAAAATTGTTACTATCTTGATATTGTCTCATTACATCAAGATTTTAATGTATAGAAATCAATTTATGAGAATTACCAACTACGTACTTGTGTTAATTGTGAAATTGATTTAGACACATTATGCACATAACTAATAACACATTTAAATGAAGCAATGTTGCACGTATTTATTGCAGCTTGTATTGTTAGATGTTAAAAGTAGAGCTGTCAATTCAGGTAAATGGGTCGGGTAAGAGTGGGTCGGGTCAATTCGGGTCGGGTCAATTCGGATTAATTCCATAACCTATGCGGGTTGGGTTTGGGTTGGGTCATGCTTGAGTCGGGTCACGTCGGGTCATACTTCTTATCGGGTTTGGGTCGGGTCGGGTGAACAATAGGTCGGGTTTTCATGGGGTCATATAATGCCGTTTGGAATCATATATAATCATTATATGTTGTCATAAATGTTCGTAGTATGCTTGACTTGATGAAATCCGTGCAAGTTGTAAACCAGTAAATTGGTCGTTTAAAGGCAAATTGGATGGTTCCACCCACCCTATTGGACTCCCGGACGGTATTAGAGACCATGGTAAACATTTCGGCAATTTTTATTTCCGGGCGAAAAAAAGTAAAAAAATTCCAAAATTGAAGGCTAATACCCACGTTTTTTGAGAAATTTTGGAGGTTTCGGGGCCCGGTGTCGAAAAGCCTTTAGATTATAAGGGATACATCTTGGGGTCATACAATGCCGTTTGAAACCATATATGATCCTTATATGTTGTCATAAATGTTTGTGGTAGACTAGAGTTAATGAAATTGGCGCAAGTTGTAAACCGATAAATTGGTTGTTAAAGGCAAATTGGATGGTTCTACCCACCCAATTGGACTCCCGAAGAATATTAGAGACCATGGTAAATATTTCGGCAATGTTTATTTCCGGGCGAAAAAAGTAAAAAAAATTCATAAATTGAAGGCTATCGCTTTTTGAGAATTTTTGGAACCTTCGGGGCCAGGTGTCGAAAAGTCTTAAAATTATAGGGAATACATCTTGGGGTCATATAATGTCTTTTTGGAATCATATATGATAATTATTTGTTGTCATAAATGTTCGTGGTAGACTTGAATTAATGAAATCGGTGCAATTTGTAAACCGGGAAATTGGCTGTTTAAAGGCAAATAGGATGGTTTCACCCACCCAATTGGACTTCCGGAGGGTATTATGGGCCTTGGTAAACATTTCGGCAATTTTTATTTTCGGGCGGAAAAAAGTAAAAAAAAATCCAAAATTGAAGGCTAATATCCATGCTTTTTGAGAAATTTTAGAGGTATCGGGGCCCGGTATCGAAAAAGCGTTTAGATTATAGGGGATACATATCGGGGTCATATAATGTCGTTTGGAACCATATATGATCATTATATGTTGTCATAAATGTTTGTGGAGTTAATGAAATCGGCACAAGTTGTAAACCAGTAAATTGGCCGTTTAAAGGCAAATTGGATGGTTCCACC